GGCGGAGCCGGAGCCGGAGCCGTTCGTCCTCGGGCGAGCCGTGCCGGAGGACCGAGTCCGCGAGACGACCGTAAGAGGAAGGTTTGAGCTGATTCGCTTTCTGCCCTCCGCTTTGGCGTCCTCCAGCGTAGCGCTGGCTCCTCCGGAACATCTGGCAGACGGTCGGTCGGTCGGAAGTCTTACAAATGAATAGAAAGTTAGATCTGCCTGTTTTTTTTTTCCCCTTTGCAATCTTATACAAATCTGCTGCTAAGTTTAAGGAGTTTGCAGGAGTTGCACCCACTTCCGAGTATGTATATTAGATGCATTCACCCAAAATCTATTATTTATCTATCCTTCTGTCTATAGATTTATCGAATCTATTACTCATCAGTCTCTTGATACTTGACGTTAAACAGAAATTCTTCAACCAAGGGGTCTCTGAAGCTCCTCTAGGATGAACTGATTTTTTTCTGTTTTTATTTGGGGCAAAAAGTGAGCTTTTTTTTTTTCAGACAAATTCTGTATCCATTTTGTTGTGTGTCTGTGTGTTTGAGGACCAAAATGAATCCTCTTTGCTTTATACCTTAGACCTGCTCAACTTTGCTGAACTGGAATATCTGGGTTCATGAAAATAAAAAGGCGGTTGCGTGTGATCTTTGGAAATCTGGGAATATGGCAAACTGCATAATTTTATAGTTCCAGTTCTTCCTCTGTGTTCCAGTTAAGGTTGGCCAGTTGGAAACTACAAAATCTGCTACAAATTAAGTCCAGTAGCCTAACCCTGGAAGCCATGTCAGAAGATGTAGGTTCTGTATTCCATGATGGTCCTGCAGTGTAGGCTTGCTCATTTCTGGTACAAAGTGTCATGTGAACCCAACCAATCATAGCTGACTCAACACACCACCCTTACATCTTTCTTTAAAGATGAAAAAGCAGAATATTCATTTAAAAAATTAAATTAAATGTTTGAATCCTCTGGCTTTGATTGTATTAAACATCCTGTGTGTGGTGTTTATCCCCTGACTCTTCCTTAAATCAATAATTATAATTAACTGTGGGTAGGATGAATTAGAAAGGAATCAGAGCAAGGGACTCAGACACTGAAGTGCCCAACGTCTATTTGATAATACCAGCTATTGCTTTAATATTCTTAGGTCCTCATAGAACTATGAATTCTTGTACTTTCATTTTTTTTCCCAAATAATCAATTTGCAACTGTGACATTTAGAGGGCGTTACTGTCATAATATTGGTTCAGTCTGCTTTCATGGTCTGTTGGCTACAGTCTTATAAAGTCTCTGAATTTTATATGACGAAAGATAGGATGAGAAAATGGGCAGAGAATGGCAAACATAAGTCATAATGACAAGAGCGAGAGTTCTCAAAAACATCGTGGAATTCTTGAATGAGTAACATTAATGAATGCTACTGTTTGAATAGCATTCAAATAATCTTTCCATCCACAAGAGGTCCAGGATCATGTTTTGCTCTTTGTGGGGCTACCTTTGAAGACAACCTGGAAGCACTATGAGGTGTGGTGCTGCCTTATTTGAGGCACTGCCTCCTTCAACATGGTGCTTCCCATCCTGTAGGGTCATCAGGAGAAGGGCTGCTTAGGGTCTCAACCTACCGTGAGGTGAGGGGAGCTTGGACCTGGGGCAGGCTTTCCCCACACTGGGCCTGATGCTTGGCAGATCTGGGCTGTGAAGGTATGCGTGTTCCCTTTGTTGTTGGACTTCTATAAACCCATCAAGCCCATTTTATTTAGGCAGGCTTCTGGAGGGTGATGGTAACTCGGGTGGTCTTTTGGATAGTTGGTTTAGTTTGCTGTTGGTTCCAGCAGTGTCTTGGGGGTGTGGGTCAGAAGAGGCAAGATGGCGGTCACATTGTTAGGTTAAGGTCTAACAATGCACCTCTTCTGTGTCCTAACTCGGAGTGATTAGTGAGGACCAGGGTATTCTGTGGGTAAGTCACGCAGCAGACAATGTGCTTCTGGACAGAAGTTTACTGTGTTGAAACCTGATGGGCTTTGAGTTCTACTTGCTTCAACTGTGAGATGATTAATATTCATACAGAGGAAAAGTCATGAGACAAAATTCATGAAAGAACGGAAATAATTCTTCTGTAGTGAAAATTTGACAATAGGAATCCTAAGTATCCCATAAGAAATCATAAGTAAAATGAAGATGCAATGCACAATGTAGCAATTAGCAATCTTTGATACCACATACCCAATTTATAAAATCTAAGCCTTCCGTTTCAGATTAATTCCATACCAGTATATACATAGCCTTACCCACTTTAGAGCACAGCTGGAGAGGAGAAGCTGAGAAGGATGTTATATTCTGTGTTGGCCTCTCTCCTATCTGGTGTCCATCACAAATGTCCTATCTGTGTTGGATGGGGGTT